GTATGCGTATAAGTAGTGAAGATTTGGCCAAAAATGATGTATTTGAGTTCAAGGTCTGATTAAAACAAAGTTATTTGTGCGTCTAAAAGTTGGAGTTTAGTTTTTGTCTAGATTAATACTAGCTTATTGGCATTTTTTCTATTGGATTATTCGTATTTAAAACATGTTGATTCAGATCCCCCAGTGTTATTAAAAGTATAAAATAAGTCAAAAGTTCTGGGAACAAAAACAATTAATGTACTGTCACTAAAGTAAAAGGAAAATTTGTTGTCCAAAAGAAAAAAGTGATATGTATGGGTGAATAAATGAAGAAGAAATGTAAATGTATTGCCCGTAAGAAACAACAAGCGATGAGATTGACGAGTGTGGGACTCTCCTTGACCCTTAGAACATGATCAACAATAAGTGTAGTAAATTTTTTGAAAGGATTGCTAATGGATTAAAAATAATAAATAATTTTAGCAACTCAACTTAAAATTGCTAATTTTAACATTTTTACAACCTCAAAAATGGGTTGCTAATGAGTGCTAAGATTATTTAATTGTATTAAATTCATTAGCAACCCATTAAAAAACTTACTAACACCCATGGTTGATTATGCTCTTACCTCTTCTTAAGCCATGCATGATTGCATGCCCCATGACAAAGAGCTCCATAACTAACACAAGCTTTTTAGTATTATTTTGTTTCTCTTGTCTGTGATACGTTACTCTTATAGGGTCGTTGTCATGGGCCGGACAATCTGGTTTTGTGCCATATACTCGCTCTAAAATCCGATATGCTTGAGTCTTTATCTGTTTTTTTTTTTCAGCAAAAACGAAATTAACCAAGAAAATTACTGAAGAAATCCAACCGAATGTTTCAGGATCATTTGTCTAGCTCTACCCCCAAAAAACATTTATGATAACTCCTATGTTAATATTAAGATTTACATACACCAACAATGTTGTTGCAAAACAAACGTTCGATTTATTTATGAATGACACTTACAACTTGAAAAATACAAAAGTTCTAAATGGGAAAAATGATACACCGTTTTATGCAAAACTAAGTTTGATTTTCAGGTCTTTTAAAATGATTTATGGGAAACTATTTTGCAATATAGAAAAGATCATTAGATATTTTAACAGAGAAAGTAAAGAACAGTTACACCATTACAAGGATCCAAAAAAGACCGACTTAGGATATGACGTTTTAAAGTTGATAGAACTACTTATAAAAAGAAGAAAAAAACAAGTTTTTGATAGAACTTATATTATATTCTTCTAAGATTACTCCATAAAACTCAAAACAAGATTTCTTGTGGCCTTCTTGTATGCCAACTCTATGTTTGGTGACATTTTTGAGTACAAATGCCTACACATCCCACTTAAATCCAATCAATACAAAAAATTCAATTATGTTGCAAACCAACTGATAAACAAAGGGGTACAAAAAAAACTTGACAACATTGATCAATCGGTCCCATGAGAACGTTCCATAATCTCAATCACATCAACCTCCCACACCACCCAATTCTGAGTCGCACTCCGGTTAGGTGAATCATGCGTAACCGTATTCCTCCAAGGTGGCACTCCTCCATTGGCTCTCAAATAATTCCCGCCGTTCCTACTCTTCAATTTCACCTTTGACCCATCTCTAACCGGTTCCCACTCTCCCGCCGGTTCACCAACTCGAATCCTCCTCGACTGAACCACCTTATGCCCGGTTGCTCCAAGCATCAACCGCTCGTTCGACGCCGTCAAATATCCACCGTGGCAGCTCTTTAACCGGACCGCCTTTTCGGATCCGGGTACCAATTCTACTCTCCATCGGGCCTCTTTCGATGTCCCGTTTCTTCCCATTGTCACACTCTCCTCGTCATCATCAGCGATCAGATACTTCTCGTGCGCACAACTTCGTAAACGCACCGATTTCGCGTCTCGGAAAATCTCAATCACTGAAACATTTTCGACAACTTTCTTCGAGTTTTTCCTCTGTTCCAAAACAAATTAAACCCCAAATCAAATTTATGTTTTCAAAACTTAATCAAGAAACTCAAAGCCAAAAGCCTAAACATTTCGTGTTAGAGAAAAATTTGTCTCTTTTCCAATAAATTCTTTAATTCTTAATCAAAATCTTCATTCCATATTTACGTGTGAATTAAAAAAACTTGACGAACCTCTGTTTTTGGGGTCAATGTACCCGACATTGACGGAGTAAACATAAGCTTGGAAGAAGAAACAGAAGCCAATGTCCCAGGATCCGACCCGATAGACTCGGAAGATCCGAAAGTCGGTAACTTTTTAACCGGCGAACCGTGAGTTGACCCGACCGAAGAGTTAAAACTCGAAACCGGAGACGAAAACCGATCCGCGAACGAAACCTTCTCCGGATTCTCAACGACTTCCACCGACCACAAGATCCATTTCTTAGTCGCCGACGTGTACGGCTCACGATCGTGCGTAACGGAATTTTTCCACGGCGGAGCACCACCGTTCCCGCGCAAATATTTACCGTTCCACGACATGAGTTTGACCGGTAAGTCGTCTCTTATTGGCTCCCAATCGCTCTCGTGCTCCGCTTGACGAAACGGCGGCGTTTGGATGACTTTCTCGCCGGTCATACCCATTAGAAACGACGATTCGCTCGCCGTTAAATATTTGCCGTAACAGCTCTTTAGTCGGATGAGATTTGATTTACGTGGCACAATCTCCACCGTCCATATAGATTGCCGTGACGCTCCGTCGGAGCTTTGACGGACGGATTTTTCGTCGTCGACGGCGAATAGGTACTTTTCGTGACAGCTACGTAACCTAATCGACGTACCTTTTGTGAATAATTCCATTTTTTTGGGTATAGACACGGTGAGATTTTTTTTTAATGGTCGTATTATTCCTTTTATAAGTCCTTCTCTAATTGATTGTTTTCCAAGTGTTACTACTCCCTAAATGGGAGTATTTTATAACATTAAATATTGCGCGTAGATATGTTTGGAAATTCCGAGTTTATTTGTTTTTTGATTATTTAGTTTTTCCCTTTTAATATTGTTTATTTTAATTTTTTAATAAATGATGAAACTGTCAATTGCAATTTCCAGGCTGTTTGTTAATAGTCTCTCCATGACTCGGTCCAGATGTTACACGGCAAGGTATTTCCTTTTTTATAATGATAGTAGTTGTAATTTTTTATATTTTCATATCTTCAAAAAGTCAGCCCTCTTTTTTTGTTTGTACTAAAAAATTTGTTTCCAATTACATTTTAAAATGAATAGCTCCAAATGGTAATACCCTTGTTCGAAAATGCGCCGCCGACGGCCGATTCTGCGGCGGTGATTCACTCGGCGGTTCCTCACCATCGCGATTCCGCGTAATTCGCTAGAAAAATCGGAAATTTTGAAAACTTCAAACTTTTATTCAATTTAACTCATAAATCGATATTCAGTTACTAGATATATCATATTTGAAAGT